CGGAGATGAGAGAAATATGAGAAAAATGGTATGCACACGTATGTCGTTCAAGCGAAACGTTTTCGTTAACCGATCCCTGACCACCGACGGTGGTCTTTCCTCCGGGAGGGGAATATCTGGCGCAAAACGCTCGAAAATAGACGGGGCGTCCCGTGAAATTCAGAAGAGAGAGCCCGGATTCCGCTTCGGTTTCTCGGTGTTACCGGCGTGTCGCGTCGTGCTATATGTCGGTTCGCAGCAAAGCGAGCGCGACCTGCAACGACGGGAGATGCCGGTGCGAGAGAGCTGGCTGGTTGGTTGGTTTCCATGGAAACCAATCAACCTCCTCATCTCGTCGCCCTCGCTCATCCTCCTACTCGGCGTATCGCGGACGGCGGAAGCGGCTGGATGAGAGAGAGAGAGAGGGCGAGAATAGCGGAAGTGAGAGGAGACCGAGCCAGGAGGAAGATGGACGAACGCGAAGCGAAGGGCGAGAATTTTGCGGATGACGAGAGCGAAGAGAGGTGCACAAAGAGAGGGATGAAAGTGCGCGACGACGAGGAGAAAAAAAAAGGATTGTCAAAGAAGATAAAAAGGTGCCACTGCGGGAGAGAAAACGGGATCATCTTCGAGAGAACGAAAGCTTCGCGAGAGAAGACGGGGGTTGATTTGTTACGTCGAGAATTCATTGGCAGCATCACCGCCTCGAATCCCGCATATGTATATGTACGGAGATGTTCGGGAACTCCCTCACTAGGTCGATGTCGATCAACGACATTGATCGACGTCCGCTCCTGAATTCCGATATGACTTCGCCAAGTTCGTAATCCATCGTAATCTATTTCACGCGTATTCGTCGAGAAAATACTGATCATTCCCAGACATGTTTCATCGTATATCATTTCTTTTTCTACCTTTTTTCGCGCATGTTCGCTTTTTAATCGTTATTGACGATTTCATATATTATTACACATGATAACAGTTTTAATAAAAGCTCTTACAATGAAGAATTCCAATCTGTGTTTAACAAAAGCTTAAGGCTACATATTATTATTTTTATTTCGTATTCTATTTTTTCATCATTCTAGCTCAAGATTATTTCACTTGCGTTTTCTATCTTTTCACTTAGAATACGATGCAAAATTCAGCTTCTTTAATAATACAAAAATCGCTGATAATTAAAGCTAACGAGAAGTTCCTATATATAAAAATAAGAGCACGTATACAATTGCGCCGAATTGTTTGATCGTTAGGGTGAATAAGGGATGAACGATTCGTCCTCGTTCATCGCTCATTCACCCCGGGGCGGGTGTCGTCCACGGGCCGGAGTTCCCGTCAAAAGGTCGTGTCAGTCACGCGATCGCGCCTTCGCTCATTAACACGTATACGTTGCGCTCCTCGTAGAAAGCGATGGATACGGCTTGAACCCGCGTGGGCAACACGTGCGCAGACAGGTAGGCGAGATCAGGACGGTGCTATAACGTGGGCGGTTATCACACGCATGTCGGCGTTTAACAAACACCGCCTGGTTTTCCTCCCTCTCTCTCTCTTAATCAGCTCTCTCGACGCGACCTCGACTCCGTCGCGTTAATCAGGCCGCTTCGCGGAATTAATTCCACTCCGCTACCGGCTCTCCTTATTTATTAAGGGGCACGTCGGAATTTTTGACAAGGCTCTCGGACATGCGAACCGGAATTTTCCCGAGAGTTTCGAAGCGAACTAGTTTCAAGGTATAAACTGGTGTTTCTGATAATAGCGCTAAGAGAACTTTAATAGCGAGCCATAATCGTTAAATGAATTCTAGATTTCATTCTGTTCCAGGTTACTCCTCGTCGTAAATAAATGAGGGAATTCTCGCTGAAAATCTCAGAGTCCCAAATTAATTAAGGGATCTGTCAAAATTAACGTCTACTGTTTAGTCCTGTATGCGATAAAATTGTGAGCGTTCTCGTGTTTTTCCCCCTATCGACGCGACGGAACGCTTCGATATAATGTTGCGCAATTTACGTTGTATTGCGTAACGTTAATATTGTTCACCGAGCAAGCTCACACAGATCACGATATTACAACGGGTCCGGTATTACGTGCCGACGATGTTACACGTGTGCGCCTGCGTGGCTCAATAATGTCGCGCGGTCCTCATTAATTTGCTCAATGAAGCATCAAGGTACAGACCGGGTCAAAACTTAGCGCCGACAACAAATTGCAATTGTGAAAGTTAAAACGCGAGGTAGATTTCTATTTCTTTCTCTCTTTCCGGAAAATTTAAATAAATGTTTCTTCCCCTTTAGATCGAAGTTGCGATTCACTTTGTATACGTAGATCGTCGACATTCGGAAACACGAGGTCGAGAAAATGGCAGATCGATATGACGGCTCGCTACTATTTCTGATCTTTCTTCGAGTGTATTTTACATATAGAATCGGAAAAAACATGATATATTGATTGATTGCAAACGATTCTCTGATCCAGAAGAAATTCGCGCGAATGGATTCTTCAACGAATCCTATTGCAGTTCGCGGAACTCGCAACAACCGGACCTCGTTAACGGGAAACTGTCGACCTTCGTGATTCCAGAGAGAAATAAACTGATAAGTTATAACTGTAACACAACGCTGGGGGTAATATGACGCCGTTCCATGAAATTTCGATCAAGAGGAAACATGAGTGTTATATATCTGAATATTTCTGTCCTTTTACACCTTTTCCAGTAATTTCAATCTCTCGCCCCCTTAATCGCAATAGTATATGTATATAATTGCTAAATTAAAAAAATTATATTATTATATCTATGTTAAAAACTTAAATCGCTCCTCGACAGAAAATTCATTAAATTTAAAAATTTATTTTTTACTCGTCTCTTTAATTTGAGATGAATTTTTCTAATATTAATTATTATTATATTATTGCCCAGATATATCTATTTTACAATAATTTCTAGCATATTATTGCTGTTATAATTTCGATCATATTTTCTTTTGTAACAATAATAGTCTACTTTAATTAGAGAAAGTATCTATACATAATCTTTAGCCAGTATGTAACACGTGCATCGTATTTTCGTATTAATTCGCGGTTCCTTTGACTAGCTTCAACGAATTAGCCGATTTTCGCACAATGCAATTGTGTTAAAGGGCGCGAAATAGGCTTATCGCGGGGACTAGTTCAAATTTACCCAACGAGAAGCAAATTCGTCCCGCCCAACTCTCGATCGCGTTGGCGAGGGATGGTTGTAACCTCGATAATAGCCGTTGTAAAGTGGCCACTATATTCGAGCATCGGGCAGGAAACGACGACGAGGGAGGGGAAAAAGAAATGATTAATTCATGAAACAGCAACCCTTCCCGCATTCATTTAGAAATGCCGGAATATCGACAAATCTACAGATTTTTTTGTGTATTTGAGATCTCCAGATAATCGTTATAAACGAAACGGAGCTGCGGAGATGGCAAGAGCCGATTTTATGAAATTACTTGCGCGAAACATCGATTCCGCTAATCAATTTGATCAAACATCGTTTATTATTCACTATAATGAATAAAGCTCTCTCTCGATCGAGTTTATAATTAATTCTTGCATAAACCAGGCTCTGCCCGTTTAACGGAAAGATCGTACATTGTAAACGGTATATATTAATATAAATTTGCTAATCTAATTTTTAATAAAACATTATATACGTATGTGTGTAACGTATCTCTCTCATGGGTTTTCATACGTCGAGGAAAACGTCGAATTTAACGTATATAAAAGTATTATGTTGAAAAGCTTCCTGCGCAGCGATGTTCGCAAAGAGATGTCAAATATTTAAACGCACGCTACACGAATATTACGCTTTCAAGTTTTCGCGGTTGCATTTTTATGGCACAAAACAACCGTTAATGCACGAGAATTTTTTTCGGAGGGAGAAAAAAATCCATTATTCTCTCAGCGCCGATGATCGCTCGATATGCGAAGAGTTTTATCGCTTCTTATAACCCGCAAAATTATTTACGTTTTATATCAACATATAATATTTCCTCAAAATATATGTATGCCACGAGAAACTGATTAACGAGATCAAGCCACGAAATAAAAATTGCTTCCGTGAAAATAGTCCGTGATATTCGTGATAAATGAGTCGCGCGAGAATCGCGCACGAGCGAATAAATAACACGTATTTCGAGCGCTTAAACGGCTGAATGGACGAATGGCAGAGGTCGCGGATGGTTGATTCATGAAATCGTGCCCACAAATCGACGATCGAGGTTTTTGCATGAAAATCCACAGGTTTTTTACGTTCGATGGCGCTCGCTTTTGCGCCACCGCCGCGAATGTTTCTCTCTCGATCGGTCCTTTTTTTTTTTTTTTTATATATATATATAATAAAAACATGTTGTTAAACGGATATATATATATATGTATGACTATCGCATCGATCCGTGAACTCTATCGATATCGCGCGAGTTACAGGCGTGCTGATTAATATCCATTCGGCCGGTACCGCGTGACTCTAAAATATCGTTTCCAGCAATATTTGTAGCGCCCGCGTTTTAATCGCCGAATGTGGCGGACAGTCTCCGGAAATTATGTCCGCCGGTGATGTTTAATCCCTATATTTTGCATTCTGACACAACGCGCGTTTTATCGCGCAAAAATTTGCGGTAATAGCGAAATACCGACCCGAAAACTGACAGCGACGCGTTAATAAAACTTTAGCTTGTTTAAAAATGTGTAATAAACCTGACAAGAATTTTGTGCTCCAATTTTTAAAATCATTAAATACTCTTATATATAATAAGAGTTTAAAGTGAAAATATAAATGATGCATCCCTGATATACATATCTTATATCATGTGTTTGTATTGTGTAAAAATAATAAATTATTTCTTGGCGCACAATTATTTCGCGAAGGATAAGTTCTTCGCTTCTTTTGTGCAAACATATCGCAATTAAATCGCGATCGCGCTCTCAAACATTCATATTTTATTTGACAACGACGAAGCATAGGAAGGAAATAATAAAAATTTTATATAGGTACTTACGAGGCTTTGCAGGCTCTGGCGGAGTCACTTCTGTCAGCTGCAAAATAAAAATATGTTAAAATTAAAACAGCGGTCTTGCAATCGTGAATTGGTCAAAATTTGCTCAAGAAAAATTAATTTCTACAATCGTGATAAAAAAACCATATAAAGTTACATTTAAAAAAATATAAAAGTACATATTTTTTTACAGTGTTTACATATATTGCCGAAGGAAAACCCAGCTGGATATTCGACTTGCGTTTCTCTTTCTACAGAATCTAACAACATTTCTAGAAACATGTCAACGCGAGACATCTTGCGTGAATAAAAATTATATTCGTTTCTGGAGAAAGTGGCATAAGGCAAATGAATTCGCGTATGAATTGCGCATAAAAGTTTGTCAAACAACGCCGGTAAGTATTTAACGTCGGTCAAATTGCAAAAGAGAGAGAGAGAGAGAGAGAAAGTTCGGCGCGAGAGCAGCGGGAAATTAAATGGATTTGGGAAAATTTGTAAAGGAAACCGCGAAAGTGTACTTTGTCTCTCCCGGCTTCCGCATCGAGTAATTTACAACGCGTCGGCTGCGTCTCCCTTGATACCGCGGACCCTTCTCTCGGCATAATAGAAATTTATCGCGCGGTTTGGCGGTCCTTTACGTACATTCTTGTAATCGCGAATGAAATAATATATCAGTCTCGGTGGCATTCCCGCGAAACTTCACGCGAAATAATCAACTTGCATCGTGTAATTAAATGCTTTCCGAGAGTACCGAGTATAAATAAACATTGTAATGCACTCGGATTAACAAATAACGCTGGCTGTCGTAGTGCAAATGACTAAATTTGTAACTGTATATTTCTAAATTTAAATAATAATTATCACTATCGATTATAATAAAAAAAATAAAAAACAACGAAGCGACAGAAATAAAATAAATATTAAATTATATTTTATACACAATAACGCGAAGAGAGAATTATAATGTGCACCTTAGTTAAAACGATGATTATGTCGTCTACAAAACGCGAGTATTATATTGCGTAACGACTCCTTTCATCTGCGAAAGCGCGAAATCGACCGCGGACGGATTCCTCGTGCTGCACAATTTGGCGAATGGGTTAGCGCGCTATATTTCTCATTCCGGTAAGTCCGCGAGTAATTCTCGCGACGTTTGAGAGCGGGGAAAATGCCAGCAGCGATTTTGCATTCGGCCGTTATTACAATTTACTCGCTCGCGCAAAAAGGATCCCGGGTGAAAAGGCATATATATATACGGCAGTCCGAATTAATCCACTTTTACGAGGCCGATTTTGCCTCTCTTTCCTTTTTCCTCTTTTACTGCGCGTTCTTTTTTTTCGTCCAGTTCTCTTCGCCGCCGATTCTCTTCGCAGTTTCGTCGGCGGTATACGGTAAAAACAGGAAACGAATTTATAATACGCAATGCAGTCTCCTGCAGCGCATATCGGGTTGCAAATATCGTGCGGAGTCCTACCTAGACGTTGTAAATCGGTTTGCGACGTTATAAAATGGCGATAAAGTTGGTAAAAGTTGAGCCAGAAATCAATTAATAAGTAATGCGCATAAATTAATTAACTTGCTTGCAAACGAGTCAATTTTTATTCCATTATTTTCCTGAAAAATTTGCGATATATTATTCTCTTTTTCTCCTCCTTTTCTTTCTCTTTTTAATTTTTTTCCAGAGATTGCGTTATTTAATATACAATTATATATTTCTTATTTCCTAAAAAAATTCCGCTTTTTTATTTTTTCTTAAAAATAAACTGCATACTTTTTATAAAAATTTTTGTTCGACAATTATTATAAAAAAATATAGAAATATAGATAGATATATTTACACAACCAGACATATTTTCACATCGCGGAGAAAGTAAGAGACGCGTTGTCGGAGGGTGACAAAGAACGAGTCTGGAAAGAAAAGTGGACGGACGGATTAGTTTCGTCCGCAGTTTTATTTACATATGCAGTAAAACACCGCGTTTCACGCAGTGCGGTCAAGGAGTTTTTATGTCGGCTGAGCGTTGCCGCTAAAGAGACATCTCGCTGTAAGGAAGAACGCACCCCAAATTAAACCGACGCTCTTACGAGGCTTACCGCATATCCTCTCTCTCTTTCTCTTTCTTTTTCCCCGACGTCAACCCTTCTCCAACAACCTCTCTCTCTCTCTCTCGTCCCACCACCACCCCTGATGCCGCCGGCGCGTTATGGCCGCTGCTGCAGCTTTTGAGAGCAGCAAACGTTTGATACGTTGCCAAGTAGCACGGGACCTCTAGCTCGAATTAATGCGATCCGAGACATTTCCCATCCGGCCGACGTTATTGCTCCAGAATTATTCCCGCCCGTAGGTATCAACGTTCCGCTTGTCGAAACAGTGTTTCAATAACAGTAACCGGGTGTTTATTCCGATCAATTAAACACTCAATTAGGCGATCCAGTTAAACATGCCATAAACATCAAAACTGTTCATTTCACTTTGGCATGTAAAACAGTAGGTATATAATATCGCGTGTTACCGCGAATTTACATTAAATGTCAATTATAAAAATAAATAAGTGTCGATATGTCGTAAATGATACAACGCGTTCTCATCTTTTTCGAAGTATATTTTTCAAATAATTAATTCATAGTTAATATACATGTATATGTGATTATACTCGCGTCCACGTGTTATCGCGAACGTCCGCGTTGTGATTTAGAGATTGGCGCGTTTCGCGCGACTCGTAAAACGCTAATTCCCGCAAATAAGACATTAGAGACTTCTCGGGGTATCACCTACAAGACAAAACCGGCCCGTCGTTCTTATATTTATATACACACGTGCACGCGCGCGAACGCGGTGCTTGACGTCGTGCCAAGTGGCACGAACGACCGAAATGTTGCCGCCGCGGTCGATATCACGCTTGTGAATTATCACCCTCGCGAGAGACACGCGCAAACTCAATCTCACATCTTGCACGCTTGTTTCTATCTAATTTGCCGCGAAAATAATACGCGCGCCTTGGCGATAACGTAATCATAATCCGCACTATCGATTGAAATGTTTCAACTATAATATGAGTGTATGCACACACTCCCTGACTATAGTTATCAATTGTTGTCGTCATCTTATAGTCTATAGTCTACAGTTATCGAGAAACTAATCAACATTGTATATTTGTTCTCGGAATTATCTATAGCCGAATACCCAACAATCATATAACGCGTTTAATAATTCTTTATTCTTTCGTTGTTATAAAAGAAAAATTAATTATTTTAATTTAAAATAAAAAATGTATTCATATTTTATAATTCTTCGAAGAATTTTTTAATTCTCGTGTTAGCTTTTGTTTCTCGTCTCGTACTTTTCAAGGAAAAAATTGTAAGGAATGTTGTGAACAACTGGCATGGAAATAAACATTTCTTTCGGATCGAGTTGTGAAAGTATCTTCTCGTAAAATGGCTCGTAACTGGCAACGAAAGGATTAAGGGCATCCTCTTTGCAACCGTAAACGTCAAAGCGCTCTTTCAACCGGAGTAGTGATTACTCTCGATTCCCGTTTGCCATTTTGATCGGCGAGTGGGTGGATCAATCGATTCTTACCTTTGCCAGATGGGGGTTGAAGGTGAACTTGGACTCGAGCTCCTTCCGCGGTGTCTGAGCGATCGCCGTCACTGGTGGACTCAGTTGCACAGTCATCTCCTGAAACAGCGAAATAAAATGCGATTTACATGCGAGTTCCTGAAATAATCCGTATTTTAGAATTTTCGGGATCTTTTGCATTTTTTAAAAATATTTTAAAGAGATTTTCCCGAGTAATTTTTTAAGAAATTCTGCACTTTCATTTTGCCACAATGTTTAAATTCGTCGAAATAATATTTGAGTTTTTTATTCGAACTTTTATTAATCTCCTGCGTGCATCCTAAAATTAAGCGACTAAAAATAAGACAGTGATAATAGGTGGCAATCAACGTGCAAATATTGAGAGCTCTCGACGTAAGATTTGCGAGGTCGAATGACGAATCAATTCCTTCGCGCACCTCTCGGGTGACAACAAGAGAAAGAAGCGATCGCGATTCTCGACAACAACACGTTTGCGTAATAGCGAGCGCGCAAAAACTGGGGCACGATTACGTCAATGTCCACGAGCGGAGTTACACGGACGGATTTCACACGACTGTTAAGTATCTCTACACGCACAACTGCTTCTATTAACGCACGTATGTACACCCACCGAAGAGCGGAGACACCGATGACTTTTACAAATATTCAATTAAAATTAAACGCGAACGCGCGGTTCCTATTTTCTGTTTAGCTTCAATTTATATTTTATTGAAATAGAATACCAAAAAAATGTAACGTTTAGTGTAAATAAGAAATTGTGAAAATATAAACGGATTCGATATAATTTTTTTATACATACCAATATTAAAACCTTTAATATATGAAAATTCACGCATTTCAGAACAAAAATGTTCTTTTGTTTAAATATAAAACTAAAAATGTATAGGACGTGATATATAGAAAATTGAATGAATTTTCGGTGTTATACATTGTAAAAAAAATTTATTAAATTCAAATAAATATTTATTCCGATACCGCCTAATAAATTACTTATTTGAAACTAATAATATCGATTTAATGTGAAAAATATTTATTTGATTTAAGAAAATCCTTGTCAAAACAGATAAATATTTATTTTTTGAAACAAATGATTGATTAGGCAGTATTGAAATAAATATTGATTAATTTAACAATTTTTGTTTCAGCGTAACATATAGATTTGCCTCTGACACATGCGTGCCGACGCACGTACGACAGTGCAATGTCGTCTCGGCACGAAGTCGCAAATCGAACAATGCGCCGCGTCTCTTCCGACGCGTCGAACGAGACGCATTTTCCGCGGGACGAGCGTCGTCGCGGCGCGCAGGCCGATTCATTGACCCGCCGAGGAGGAGACACCCGTCGACGGGAAACAAAGAGCCGACGAGACAAAAGCTCTCGCGAAGTGCTTACGTTCTTACGTGCGATCGGCGACGTACTCGACTCGCTCGCGGCAAAATAAAATCCTAAAAGCCGGAAACAGATTGAAAAGGGTTGAAACGAAACTAAAAATCATCCTTTTCTTTTTCCCTTTTCCCCAAAAAAATTGCCTGCGTGGTATGAATGAAGATTTGAATATTTGAATACACGTGGCGTTGATACTCGTGACATTTGCAAATCGAATTTTCCTTAGCCAAATGTCAGAGAGAAACAATAAATTTTCATACATTTTTAGTGACAATAAGGTCAAACAAAAATTTGAGAAAAATACGATCTCTATGCACGTTTTTATTTAAATTTATATCATGAAAAATTATATAATTTTAGAAAAAATTTAATGCTTCAGTTTGTATATGCAACTGCATATTCAGTTTTCATCTCCTTTCTTTTTCATACAACACAGAGAGTGAGTTTTTGTGGCGCTTTAAATTTGATTGTGCTATTACAGATATATAAAAAAATATATATTCCTTTAACATTTTTTTAATTCAACGCTCAAACGCTCGGATTTTCTTACATACAACTATTTACCTGCAATTTAATGCCGCAGGTCAATTTAATGCTCGGCTGCTTGCGGTGTAAAGGATCCGGTCACATCATAAACATTTTGTTTCAGATTGTAGGAAAACGTGGCACGCATAATATCAATAATGTCGTATTCAAGAGAGCGCATTGTTCTAGAAGGAAATTGCACTGTAATTTCGTCAAATGCGAGGTATCATATTAGTACGACGGCTTGCGGAATACTAACGACGACATCTGCCGCGAAACGGAAACAAACGTTTCATGCTCTGGATACGTATCCTCCCTGTCAGTCTCGGTATAAAATGTCAAATTACTCGATAAAACTGTGGGATAAGCAACAAGTATCATCGACAATGGTGGAAACTAATATGCCCATCCGATCAAAGTCTGGTTCGTAATTAAAAACAGAGAATGTCTAACTCGAAAATCCTTCAATTCGGAATTTTCTTCTCACAAAGTGAGAATTTAAATAGAACGCGTCTTTCTTACAAAGTTAATAATAAAATTTAATTAATTGCAATTTATCGAGAATGTATTGCGCATCTATTTCCAACATGTACATATATGTGTATTGCATTACGAAATTCTCTTTCTTACTTAAAAAAAATTTCAAATTACAGCTGGTATTATTCACATAATTATTTAATATTTGCTACGCACTTGCTTTCTCTCTCTTTCTATGTTATGTAAACTTTTTTCTCTCTCTTTTCCCTCTCACTCTCGCTGTTATTACATACAAAACCGATACTCAATTATCGACAGGCGATGGTCGCGCGCTAGAGTATCGTCCAGAAAGTGAGTAATCGCCAACTCTCCGGAGTGCAATTTAATTTCGACTGCAGATCCATTGGTCCGTGAAACTTGTTACTGCGATGGAAACGCGACGCCGACGTGCCGATAAAAGTCGACGGTTCGCGCAGGAAACGGACGAGAAGGAAGGAAAACCCGAACAAATATCGCGGCGAATATTCGGACCATATACGAAAAACTACGGAGAGATCTCGGAACGATGATTTTGTGTGCGTATAAAAGAATTTTTTTTTCTCTCTCTCTCTTATTCTTTTAAAGCTTCCGTTCGAATATTAATTGTAAGAAGTACAAAAAAACTAGAAAAAATATTCTAAACCGCTTTGGTATTATCTGTATAGATATTACTTCTATTTCAAACCATTGCCAAAGCTATTAATATTCACTTTCCTCGCGGCTATTTTTTTTCAACAAATAACTCATCACAAAATGTCAAGTTCAGTTTTTTATATATCCAATATTTTTTTTTATTTTTAATAATAATTAAAACAAAACTTATTTTTTCTTATAGAAAAAATTTAAACGTATATTCTATTATGCAATTTTTGCATTACATCAGTACTGTTTTTGTGTTCTAATTAAAATATAATACGCAGATATATAGAGGTACTAATCAGATTTGATTAATGTTTAAGTTTGAAAGAACTGTCAGACTCCGTTGCGCTTTTTAGGATTAATCACTTGCTATTCTCGGCGGAGTGCGTGCAGTTGCAGTTGCACCGCGACACGTGACACGCGTGCAACGCGTACCTAAGGACGAGCCGACAAAAAAGAACTCGCATGCCAATCAAGAGAGAAAGAAATTCTTAATGCTTGAGTCACTCATATGTTTCTTTCTCTCTCTCTTGCGTGCGCACGCGGATCATCGCATGGGCGTGTTTCGTGCGGGATGATTTACGCGGACCGATAATTTATTTCCGCGCCGCACGAAGGACGACATCGAGTTATGCAAATTGCACGCGCTACGAATGAGGAATTTATAGCGGTACGATATCGGGCGAATAAACGTCGAATTCGCGATGAATAATGGACGCGGGCGCGTCGCGCTAAGATTCGCCGCAATAAAAATAAAAGTCGAAGAAGCGAGGAGAAAAGCTTCCGGATTAGCCGGGAATGTAAACGGAGCTGCACGAGAATGGAGCTTACATAAGTTACCTTAACTTCGTGTGTAACTTCGATATCTGCGTGCATAATAATAAATTTAATAAAAATATTTTTATAATCAATATTTGTTGCTTGTCGACTTTTCTTTTGAGTGTTAAAACATCGAGTTAAAATTTTATAACTTACCAAGAAAATCTTCCAAGCGCTTCACGAGGAGGCTTTAATGTCGATCGTACGATAATCATGTCAGACATATATGCATATAAGAGCGAGCGAACGAGGAGGAAAAAAAACGAGAGAGAAACTCGATCGCGACGAAAAATTTGCAAGTAGCACCTGTTCGTTACACTAAAACGCAATTTTAACACGCCTCTTACTGCTTCGATAAGTTGCCCGTCTATTCCTCCCCGACGCATTAACGGATTATCGTGTAACTCACGTGTCCTGGCTTTTACATCGAAACTTTTACACTCGCGACACAGTAACAGCTTCTCCTTGTCGTAGATATAAATGACAAATTGGATTAAATGCTACATTGTCTCGCGCAGTATTTAAAAGTTCAGTGTCAAAGATCTTGATAAATTTCAAGTTAGACTTCGTGAAACTAAACTTTTTAAATCGATTGGAAAATAAAAAAAATTAAATACATTTTCTTTTTTCCTTTCTTTCTCTCTCTCTCTCTCTCGCTCTCTATCTCGTTTTTATTTGTAAAGTGGAATTCGCCACATGCTCTTTTCAAGATTAAATAATTACATTAGCAACTTCTGGCTATACTAGACATGTCAAGTTAATTTCGCGCACTCGACATTACTACTAATTTCAACTTTCTCATGCAATTACATTTAAAATCTCTTTCAAAAATTGAAATGTCTAAATTATTGTCACATATATCAATTAATTATTAAGTATAATTATCAGTCAATTACGATCTTCAGATTCTTTTTTCTTTTTCCCAATATGACAACTTGAATTTATCTTAAATTTAATCTAAATATATCTTAAATATTACACATCACTGACAAACATTAATATAAATATAGAATAAGTTCAATATAAATATAGAATAAATATAGATAGATTTTCTTTTTCTCAAAATGGAACGAGCAATTGTAATAAATTCAAGAGAAAAATATCTGTCGAAGAGAATAAAGCTAAAGTTACATAATTAGAAATATAATAGAATTAAACGTCATACGCTGCATATGACGCATACAAATAAAACA